ACGGCTATTGCCGTCATGTCACATAGTGAACTGTAACTTGACGGCTATAGACGCAACTGTCCGTCAACGTGTTAACTTTATAATAATCCTAATAACTACGTTTCATATCCTTGCATTTACATCGCTTTTACATCTTAAAGTGCATTTACATCTCAGGATAATCTTGTTTTTCTTCTATGCAGAACGATTTCAACGAGGAAGACAATTGTAGCAGTAACGAGTCCTCCCATCCACAGAAAAAAACCTGGAACTGCACGTGTCCCCTGCTTATGCTCAATCGCGTCACCCTTATTAACCATCACCGTGTCTCGTACCCATTTATCCAGGATTCCTCCTTGCATCATCCTCAAAATCAGTTGATCCATCTGCGCCGCAATCGGTAAACCCTTCCTCATCATCAACCAAACCAAATTGTAAGTTAAAATCGAGCATCTGTGAAGGGCTTCCTTATTCAAAGAACCTACAATGTAATAAGCTGTTTTCGAGTTCTTGATTACTGCCATTTCTCCATTGAGGACCTTTTGAAGACATTCCTCTCCAGTCAAGGAACAGCTAACCCAGTTCTTGTAAACTATATCAAAAGTTGAATTTTGATCCATAGCTATATGCCTGCTCACTATATAACCTCCGACTGGTAATCCTGAATCAAGTATATCATCTAACGTGTTTAATTGCTTTTCAAAGCTAGGAATGGCTAGAAACGCCATGAAGTTGTTCGTGAAGAGGGTTATGATGAAGAACGAGGTGAAGGACCAAATAAAGTAAATGGAATTGATGAAAGCGTATGTAGATTTGATACTGTAAGAGCTGAAAGCTATATTCAATATTAACATGATCACACTGATTACATCGGGTTTCTGTCCTTTTAGTAAGTTAAACTTGTAAAAGATGTATACGATTGTAATGGTAGTGAAGGTGATTACCAACCATAAATTCGGTTGGAACACTTGCAGGATCTTGCTGGAAATCGGCTGCAATTTAGCAGAACGCACGAACAACCCCATTTGCATTAACGTAAAGCATTGGCTTCCGTCGAAGACTTCCACTAAATAATCCTCAGCCTTCACTGCTCCCATCACCACATCGATCCGTTTTTCATTTAACAGCTTAAACAAACCGCTGTATGAACCGTTGACCTTTCTTCCATGGTTCGTGTAGTTATGCTTCACGTACTCCATGTACACTCCAACCCTCACAGCTATCTCCCTCATCATCAAAACTTCAGAGCCGGGATTCCCAACATCGAACTCGTTTATTACATATGGGGGTATTCTAACCGAAGCCACTTTAACAACGCACTTCTTAAACATCCACGAAGGATATTTGAATTGCAAATTACAATTATTACACTCAATAACTTCGGAAAGCACTAGAGAATCGCAGTTTCTCTTGTAAGAGCGAATTTGCAAATCGGTGGTGATAACAAGCAGACTTAAAATGTAAAATTCTGCGTATATTTTTAAAACCATTTCCAAATAACTTGGATCCACATTAACAGCCACGACTACAGCCGTTTTATTCCATGATAAACTATTGTATTGCTCATCTAAAAACTTATACAATTCCTCAAAGCTTTGTACATCCGTTATAATAGCATCGTAATTGTAATATCTCCTAACGTACTTAGTCTTCAGATTATATTTTAATAGGGATCCTGAAATTGTTCCATCGATTAATGCGTTTGCTGCGACTTAAGAGCTGTACCTTCTAAATCCGGTAAATCCTCGAAGTTGTCTACTACGTACACGATCCTGTTGATGTTTAGGCCTTTCGCGAGGCGAAGGGCGCATTCCGAAGTCGCGCTTTTCGAACTCGTTAAATTCAGCGCGTTCAGCAGGAAAATTGAGTTAAACATTTCGCTTGGCTGAGTGGAATGATAATAAACAAACGGAACGCTGAAATTGGACTAGGTGTGACTTGTTGCAATAAAAACCATTCAATTATAGATATTATTACGTTCGGTTTCTTTACCCTTAAATCATGTAAACAACATTTCATGAATAACAAATAAAGTATTGATTTTACATGCTATACCGCATATTAACTGATATTATACCAAATGTCACTGTAAGACATTGCGTAATGCAGCGTTTTCCAAACTGTGAGGCGCGCCTCCCTGGGGAGGCGTACACTAGTCTAAGGGGAGGCGCGAATATTAGTAGCAGTGAGCAATTTTCCAAATATCTGCTAAAGTATAGATATATTCCTGTGCATATTGCTGTAATACGCGTTCAAAGTTAAAAATTGAAATTAAAATGTTCGAAAAAGCAGTGTTTTCATATTTCATTGATTTATTTGAAAACTATAATAGATAGAATTCATTTCGATTTCCTCCTCTTAAAGTTAAACACACAAAAGGAGCACAAAAGGCCTTACGCAACCGCAACAATTTGCGTGCAACTAATTGCATTCTGTAATATAATCCAGATCGAGTGGACTGATCGATTGATTGCAACTTCTGGGTAATAAATCGGCGCGGAAATCTTCCAATTCTCTACCAAGAACCGCACAGAACAAAAAAGAAAAAAAACGTTACGCAAACATTTAATTAATCGCTTCTGTTTTCACCTCTACGTGCTTTATCCTGTCTTGCTCGACGCACTCTTTGCGTAACTTCCTCAATTCAAATCAATTCCGATAGAAGAAATAAGAAAATTTATTTATTTTTTGGACATGAAAATATTAATAAATTAGTTTTCGTTTTCGTTTTCTTTTTTGTTGGTCGTTGTTACGTAAGTCGAGTTTCACAATGGAAAACCTGAAACGAATCGAGACTTGCGGTTTATATTCAATTTTTTTTTATCTGCAATAATAATTTGGCAAGTCGAAAATTCTGTTTCAGCGATGATGAATTGCTGCAGAACGGATTAAGTGAGTTAAGTGAGTGAGTGAGTAAGTAACCTTTAGGATGGAGATTATCTGCTGCGATTGAAGGAGGAAGGTAGATGAACTCCGACGTCTTCGTTTGGGTGTGTGTGCGTGTTGTATGTGCATATACACCAACAATAGTCGCAGTGGGGAAGAATCGGCTCGGTGGCAGCAGTATAAAGCAGATAGAAAGTTCTTTGCTCGCCTGTTTGGATTAGCAGAGGTTTGTCAGTCGTCGGTGGTGTTTGGTGTCCGAAGTGAACAGAAGAGAAGAAAAATATATACGCTGAGAACGAGCGAGAAGAGGAGACACATAGATAGACACACAGATTTGAAGAGCAATAGAGCGTGCAAGTGGATTTTATCTTCGTAGCAAAAGGAGGAACTGCAAACAACATGAGGTCGTCCCATCTATTTGTCTTTACCATTCAGTTGCTGCTGCTGCTGGTGGCTCTGTCCTCGGGATATCCGCAAAATTTGCAAAGTAAGTTTACACTGCGTTATATCTGTTTGGACTACCCACCTACATCCTATTTAAGGCCCTTCATACATACCACCACCACACCACCATCGAAATCCCAATTCACCTCAAACTTTACCTGTTTTATCTATTATCAAATTTTTACATTTTTTTTTTAAATTACAAATTTCAAATCAAAGATACAATTTGCAGTATAATTTATATGTAAGTTTTTTAATAATTAATTTCATAATTGGAAAATTAAACTTTACTAATTTTTTTCAATAATTTCAATAAAGTTAATAATGAAAATCATTAACTTCTAAAAGAAATAATGATTATTGACATTTGTTTAATTAATTAAGAAAATATTGTTTCAAAAAATTAAGAAATGTGATGATTTTTATTTAGAAATGAAGAAAGAAATTATTGCAATTTCTTGTTAATAATTAATATTTTTCCAACTTCTTACTTATGAAATTTGTATTCTACTTTATGAAACCCCCCCCCTCCAGTTGGTATTCTAAACTTAATGTAGTGAGTCCTGAAAACAATTGAATTTTCATTTGTACTTCGATTGTTTCCAGGACTCACTTCGTTTACTATTGAAAAACTAATTAATCCTAACTACTTGTTGTTATAAATTAATCAATAGAAATAATAATATCTTTATGCAATAGAATTTTCCAATAATTTTTTTTAATCATAATTGAAAAACATTTAAGAAGTAATTTGTGATTAAAAAAAATACTTTACTTATTACACTATTTCTTTGGAAAAGAAAACTTTGATATAATAATTTCAATAAATGATGGGCGAACGCAGTGAGTCCTGAAAACAATCGAAGTACACATGATAATTCAATTGTTTTCAGGACTCACTTCGTTCGCCCATCATAATAATCGTTTATTTTACCTAAAATTTAACATTTGATTAAACTAATTCTACACAAAATTACACACTAAATAATTGTAAAGTAATTAAATTTAATCAAAAGCAATAAATTTAGTCGTTTAGTAATAACATCAATTAACTAAGATTATGATGTACGAACGAAGTGAGTCCTGAAAACAGTTGAAGTACAAATGAAAATTCAATTGTTTTCAGGACTCACTTCGTTCGCCCATCAAGAAAAGAAGTTTAAGATCAGAAACAAGAATTACTTAAATATGATTAATTCATAAACATTAACTAAAATCTGAAATAGTTATTTAATGACTAATAATTTCAACAATTGATTGGCAAACGTAGTGAGTTCTGAAAACAGCTGAAGTACAAATTATAATTCAATTGTTTTCAGGGCTCACTTGATTCGCCTTTAACATCATTAAATATTTATTTTAGTTTACGTAATTTAAGTATTAGAAAAATTCAAATAAAAACCGTTAAAAAAAAACTAGTTTCTAAAACTAAATATAATAAGATGCAATCGTTTTCCAAACTCTAAATATTTATCAATCAAAAAACAATTCTTCTACAATAATTTCTTAACTTTTATATCAATTTTCATGACGATTTAACAACTATGCAAATTACTTTGCGTTTCAATTTCGATCAAAGAATTGCAACAATTTTAACGGTTTTTTTTTTTGTTTATGCAACAACTCAACTCCTACGCAACATTCTTCACCGATGTTTTTTCTACTTGTTCATTGACCAAAAACTGTGCTGTATTTTATTATAATTCTTTATTTATTTTTTTTTGGTTTTCGCCACCTCCGAATTCCATTCAAGCTTCGAAATTCAATTACGAAATCCTACATAAATAAAACAAAAATTTATTTGGAAATCCAACGCTTACTTCGTGCAAATATTTTACGAAAACTATTGCATCCCAAATAGAAAAACAAAACAAAAAAAAAGAAGAAGCGTGAAATCAACGAAATAGTAAAACAAGAGAAGTTTACGCATACTTGATTTGAATACGGATTTAATTGATAAATCACGAACGCTGTGCAAATTATACGCAATTACTGTTTGGAAATTTCAAATTGTTTTTAAGACGTATTCAAACTATATTTATACATAAATTTATTCGATGATTTCTTTATTTTTTAGGATTTAAACTTGGAAATTATTTAATGCAAAAAAATAATTTAATTAGTTTAAATTCAGAAGAAAATTATGTTTTTTTATAACAAATTTTAATTATTTTGTCAAGATTTAAATAAAACAAGTTTACAAATTTTATAATTTAAAGAATTAAAAGTTTTGTAGATGCAAATAATAAGATAATGTTTAACATAAGAAGTTACGTAAATTTTATGAAAATAAACAAATCTTTGCAGAAAGAAACACCAGTTTCTTTGTACGAACGTGAGAACTGAACGTTTGCACATTCTTCAGATGAAATTGCAGAAACTTTCCTCTCGAGTCACATTAATTATCACTAAATGCACATAAATTCGTAATAATAATAAGCAAGAAATGGAAGTAAATCTTCATTTTATAATGAAATTAAAGTTGAAAGTAGATTAAAAGTTGTAAATTTAATCTTGAATTGAATTATTGTTTACGTAATAATTCGCACGATCTTCCTACGCGAACTTTCTCGATGAAATCAGATGATCGAAGTTGGCGAAAAAAAACAAGATTCAATTTTTGTTTTTAATTCAAGATCAAAAGGAAAGTATTAAAAAACAAAACAAATTATAAATTATGAGATCAACTGTCTAGATTATTATAGTATTTGATTTATTTTTGTTTGTTTTATAAGTTTAAGTGATCATTAACAGCTACTTTATTTATTTTTTATTATTAATAGTAAGTGAAATTTGTTGTTTAAATCATTATGAAAAATTGAAAGTTTGCTTATGTAAAAGCAATTGTGTGTGTGTCTCTCTAATTAGGAGTGTAATCAAATCTTCTATGAAATTTCTTCTACGTAATTAATAGTATAAACTCGTTTGAGGTCTCCAACACTCAAAAAATTCTCATCATTTATGTCGATTTTTATTTATAAACTCTTCCAAGTCTGAAGAGACTTTTACTTTCGAATCGTAGAAGAAGAGAAAAAAAAACGTAAATTAAGCGCAGGAAACGCAGATACGATCTCAAAGACATTATTCTAATATCTCTACAACCTTCTTTTGCTCTGAGTTGTTGGAGAGGAGGAGGAATCTGATGATCATCGTTGCAAACGGATTTCTTCATACCAGCAGCAACAACATTCAACCTTTTGCGTACCAAATACCAGACGAACCTTTTATCAAACGACCTCAACAACAATAACAGAACAATGCTAAATCGGAAAGTTTCAAACTTTATCAATTCCAAATGGAATCGAAATGATAATTGCATACAAAATCGCGTTTCGAAATTTGAGCGATTTGAATATTTCGTCAAAAAACAACGTTGCAAAACGCATTGAAATTATTCGAGTTTTGCAAAATCGTATTTTTGCGCAATTTGCGGAAATCGCGTGATCAATCGTGTTGTTAACGTTTAAAGAGGAGGAGAAGACCGGAAATCTTCGGATTGTCGTCCACTTGAAATTCACCGGAGCGGATGGATTCAAGGCACGTCGCGACGCCGAAGAAGATTCTTTCGTTCGTTTCCCGTTTCTTTCTTTCTTTCTTTCATTCATTCTTTTCAGTTTGTGTTGTTCTTTTTTTTTTTTCATTCGATTCCGAATCGAAACTTTAGTGGCTCAGTTAAACAATAAAAATCCGTAGCTCCATGATACATTATTCAACTTCCTGCATCTATCTTTTTCTTACACGTACTTCTTATTTTTCAACACTCAAATCAAAGTATGAGAGAAAGACGAAATAATCAAAGTGACTTTACACAAATTGATGCAATTGAAAGCAGTTGAATTATTATTTGTACTTCAACTGTTTTCAGGACTCACTTCGTTCGCCCATCATAATCTTAATTACTTGATATTATTACTATACGACTAAATTTATTTGTTTTGATTAAATATAAATAGATTACAACCACTTAGTGTGTAATTTCGTATAGAATTAGTTTAATCAAAAGTTAAAAAATTAGGTTAAATAAACGATTATGATGATGGGCGAACGAAGTGAGTCCTGAAAACAATTGAATTATCATTTGTACTTCACCTGTTTTCAGGACTCACTTCGTTCGCCCATCATAATCTTAGTTACTTGATTTTATTACTATACGACTAAATTTATTTGTGTTGATTAAATTTAAATAGATTACAACCACTTAGTGTGTAATTTTGTATAGAATTAGTTTAATCAAAAGTTAAAAAATTAGGTTATATAAACTATTATGATGATGGGCGAATGTAGTGAGTCCTGAAAACAATTGAATTATCATTTGTACTTCACCTGTTTTCAGGACTCACTTCGTTCGCCCATCATAATCTTAGTTACTTGATTTTATTACTATACGACTAAATTTATTTGTGTTGATTAAATTTAAATAGATTACAACTAATTTGTGTGTAATTTTGTGTAGAAATAGTTTAATCAAAACTTAAAAATTTAGGTTAAATAAACGAGTATTATGATGGACGAACGAAGTGAGTTCTGAAAACAATTGAATTATCATTTGTACTTCACCTGTTTTCAGGACTCACTTCGTTCGCCCATCATAATCTTAGTTACTTGATTTTATTACTATACGACTAAATTTATTTGTTTTGATTAAAATTAATTAGATTTCAACCAATTAGTCTGTAATTTTGTGAAGAATTAGATTAATCGAAAATTAAAAAATTAAGTTAAATAAACGATGAATTTGAATTATCATTAGTGAATTATCATTAGTACTTCAACTGTTTTTCCATTTTTTTTAATAATTTATTATCTAATTAGAAAATTATAAAACAAATGAAACTAAATGAATATATCAAAATAACAAAATTTTCATCATTTTTTTTTAATGTAAATAATGAAAAACTTCGAAACTTTTATAAACTTTTTTTCTTTCTTAAAATTTATTATTTTGCAAAACGTTATAAACAAAAATTATGTTAATGCAATGTATCAAACAAAAAAATAAAGAATGTACGCAATTAAAACGAATACATTAACATATTGATGCGC